CAGAATTACTGCAGCTCCCTGCTATTCCAAAGGTAGAGAATCCTATATATGAACTAAGAGAAACCCATTCGCAAGGCCCGTATTGCGATCCTTATTATGTAGACATAGAAGAAGAAGAGGGAAACCATTACGAACATTTGCCTGTACCATGGGAAGGTGATACCATGCACATCCTCCCAGGCCCCAGTAATACAGGGTCATACACAGTACCAAACAATGCGGAGAGGCCCTATTTGGATGTGAATAAAGCCACCAACAACTTGACCGTTTACTGCAATGTTCACCCTTACCTGGATCTCACAGAGGATAGTATTTCGCTACAAGAGACTCGATCAAACATCACAGATTTGCTGGAGAACAGAAGCGTCTATCATTCTCAGAGCTCATTTGATGATGAAACAGAAACACACTTCTGAGAGAAAATTGAACCTGAAGGACAGATGATACAAACACACTTTTGTCAGAAAATATGAAAATAACAACTTGAGTCATGTTTTAATAACTAAAATGAACATGTTTCACCGCGTAGTTTTTAAATTTTTACTCAGATTTGCTCGAAAGTGAAAAATATTTGTATACATTAGTAAGGATGATTTCAGAGAGGCAGAATTTTGAACATCATAGAAAGTTTACAATTTTTTTATATTCTAAAAATTTATCATTTGAATCATTTTCAATTAATATAGGCCAAGAAATATATACCAATCCAGGCATTCATTTTTTTTGTTTGTATCATCTGTCCTTAAAAACGTAGCTTTCCTCAAGGGAAATAAACATGTCCTTCAGTTTTTCTTTTTTTTTAAGACTTAAAATTTATCTTATGGATATCATGTTAATATACAAAGTGTTTAAGGACAAGGGCCCCTTTGATGAGCCAATTTACTCTCAAAACTATTTTTTCAGCAGGGTCGATGTCGCTAAGAAATGACGGTTTAGAAAGCTATACAAATTTTTTTCTATTATATATTGATGGTTACACTCGTGAAACTATTTGTAACCTTATTGTCAAAACTTTGTATGAACTCTTGATATGTTCAATGTTGCAATGAAATGCATCATACATACTTTTTTTTCAAAAGGTAATGCTTACCCTACAACAGAAAAAAAACATGAATCTAATGCTCAACGTAAGCTTTTAAAAGTGTGTTTACCAGTATTATAAAAATCAGACACTAGATTATGTTATAGGTTCATATTATTATTACCACTTAACCAATGCATTTTTTCATCAAATACCAATACCATGTATCTTTTGCAACACATTGGATATTGACAATCTTTGTAAAATATACTTCAAATAAGGTTCTAACATACATGTGTCTCTTGAATGATTCCAAGTTATTCTGCTAAAAGTTTTAAATATTTGAAATTATGCAAAAAGATTTTTATTTGATCGTGTTTATTGAAATTGTACCTCTGTAATGCAAACTATTTTTATTTTCATGCAGATCTAACAGAGTCTAAGATGAACTATTAAAATTATCTATTTGCATATCTTTTGTGTATTCTGGCTTGAGAACAGTATTTTGTCCCCCAAAGCAACAACTATTTCCCTTTGTTCTTGATATTTTTGTAAATAGTCTTAACTTGATTTTTACAGAATATTATTTCAACAATTAATAATCATTGTCATTTTAATCTTGGGTTTATCAAATTTTTTTTGTTCTACTAATCTTATAGTCTCATGATTTTTTATTACATGTATAATTAGAAATGGACACTCATTAAATTTTGCTTGTTAAGATTTTGGAAAGTATTCATTCCGGGATGATGCCAAGATGAATAACTTTTATTTTACCTATTCCATGTATTCCTGCTGAAGTTCGGATTATTTTTCTTTTGAAGAATATGAGATTTGATTTCTTGACTGTACCCCATCAGTCTTGATTGTGTTATAAAGCCTAAAAAGAAGACGGAATGCTTTACATGTTTTCAAGTGCCACAGCTCGGTGATTGATTTTTGTAAGTTGTTGATGTCGACTTGGCGAAACATGGTGGAGGCTCTGAACAAGAGGCGCAAGGATTTGTCTGCTTATTATATAGAAAACTGTCTCCGTACACGATTGTAGTACTAGTGTAATTCATGCCAGTAGCCGTGTTTCTTACACATTTTAATACCATTTTATGATTCTGCAACTTTTCTGCATGACAAAAATGTGTAAATTGACGTGCTACCTATTTATGACAATAGGGTTAAAACATATGGCACGCCAAATTCACAAAAATGAGATAATCATAGTTTCACAATTGATAAATTAAGTTTATCGACTGTAAACTATAGTTTACAAACCGTAAACTATAGTTAACGATCGTTAAGTATAGTTTTCATCTGTAAAACTATATTTAACGGTTGTTAACTATAGTTTACGAATGATAATTTAAGTTTATCTGTCTGTAATAAGCGTTAACAATAGATTTTGTTGATAAACATAGATTCACGTTTGTAAACTATAGTTTACAATCGTAAACTATAATTAAGAGTTGTTAAACATAGTTTCACAAATTGTGAAACTATATTTATCAGATCGTTAACTATAGTTAACGGTTTGTAAACTATAGTTTACAAATCGTGAAACTGTATTTATCAGATAATCTATGTTTTGCAATCGCAAATGATTGTTTTCGGTGTTAAGTATAGTTTACGGTTGTGAAACATAGATAATCGCGTTAACTATAGTTTACGGATGTAAAATATAGATTAACGTTGTTAAGTATAATTTACAGTCCGTAAACTATAGTTTACAACCGATAAACCTAGTTTATCGATTGTGAAACTATGATTTGCTCATTTTTGCGAATTTGGCGTGCCATAAAAACAGGTCAAGACAGTGAGGGGGTATACAGAACATGATGGAGAATATGCTGGACTGTTGAAGACATCAACATCTTCACAGGAAATCCATCAAGTCTGTGATACCTTATGAACTGTCATTGATGTTTACAACTATTATAATACTGTACATATATGAAGATTTGATGAATTTTTCCCCATTTCTCTACAGAATTTAGAACTTTTACCTTTACCTAATTAATATCCAAAGAAGAATATTTTCGTTGTGATCAGAAATAACATAATTGCATGCCTTTCTAGCATATTTATCAATCAAACAAGCAGTTTTAAAATCTATTTGTAAATAATTCTTTTTTAAAATAATTATTTTTAATTAAACAATCATGTCAAAATTTTATCAGTTCATGGGATACCTAAGATTTAAAAAAGTCTAAGCATAATTATCGAAATCTCTTTCATTCATGTTTTTTGTTTTGTCTTGTTTTGTTTGATTTTTTCATTATCAATAATATATATTGGTCATGATTGTGCACATTATATATATGTTTATTATTATCATGTTTCAAGTTTTTTGGTACCGTTTTTTGTGCAAGGTGTATACAGATGCCCCCTGCTTTATCGTTTAATTTGTATTTGTATCCCAGAGATAAGATTGATATACAGTGGTGCCTCTTTAATCCGGACGCAACATCCCAAAAATATTCATCCGGATAAATGAATCCTCCATTCCGGATATAAAAAAAAAGTTAAAAAGCATGACATATGCATAATGTGGTGTCAAACGTGAAGGCCATCAAGATGCGGAGCGCAAAATTTTCGTATAAAGGGGACAGATTAAATTTTAAGGTAGAAAAAATTCATGTTTCAAAATTGGTTCCAAAAATTATCGTCCAGAAGGTGCGGAGTTCGGATGAATGGCTTCCGGATTACTGTGGCGCCGCTGTATAGGGGTTCGCAATTACTTTAGTGAACATGGTGAATGAGATTGTCAAACATTTTATGATTAATATGATTTCAGATGATTTTTCTGGGTGTTTTAAAATCTTTCTGCATTTTAAAATAAATTCTTTTCACTTCAATAAACTCGTTCCTCGTTGATACATTGTACATGTAACTGTTGAGTAATCTAACAGTCCTCTTTCATTGGAATTTGTAATGAGGACAAGCCCTAACACGAGACTTTGTATTTAGTAAATGATTCAATTTCAGTCAAAAATATTCCACGGGGTAATCTGTACCCTTTTTTCATGATTTTCGAAAGTTGTCTTAATTTAGCCTCTTACACATATTAAGATTCAAAACTTATCCATCTGTTTGGCATATTTCACTAACAAATTTTGTCAATGGCCTATTTGAAATATAACACAAAGTGTGATATTTGACTTTAAATACGGAATTTAAAAAAGGGAAAAGGAAGTGTAAAGTCAATATTTCAGCCGAAGATAATTCTCAATCTGAACTCATTGCGATATTTTTAATCATATTTTCTCTACAAAAATGATCTGACTGCAGAAATTGCTCTAACGGATATTGTTTTGTACACTGTACTAAATTTGATTACGGAATAATCCGTCTATTAGAACTTGATCGGTAACATTTAACATTAAAATCAGATAGTTTTTACATATTGAATCAGAACTTAGTGATGCTTTCATTTAGTTAGAGATTAATTTACATGGAATAGGAATAACCCAGATAGCATGCTAACATTGGGCCAACGTTGGGCCAATGTCATCGGTTACATTGGGCCAATGTTGGCAAATGACATTGGCCCAACGTAAGTTTGCTCATCGGCCCAATGTTGGCCCGATATGTTGGGCCAACGTTGGCCCAATGTAGAGTGTTATTTCTGCAGATATTGGCCCAACGTTGCGCCAACATTGGCCCAACAAATGCGACATTGCGCCAACGTTGGCCCAACGTCATCAAGAACATTGGGCCGATGTTGGCAATTGGCAACATTGGCCCAATGTGTATAAACATTTAATTGTTACAAACTCGTATATTAATTAACAAATCCGATCGTCTCTAAAATCAGAGAAAAATCTACCACCAATCCTACTTAATAAATACAAGTTAGCTAAAATAAATCTACAAGGCTTGTTAAACTTTTTACAATTTATCATAACAAAATAAGTTATCAGTGATTAAATTTATTGTTTCTATTCAAGAAAAGTAAATGAAAGTATAAAATAACAAATGTGTTTTGATACAGTTAAAACAATAAATAATTTGCCCTGATTTAGATTGAAATTTGTATCTAGTAGAATAAATTTCAAAAGTTTTCCACTCGTTTATCTTATATATACTTTTTGTTAACAGGTTTATAACCAATCACTGTCCTCCATTGTATTTTTGAACGCATTTTCTTCTTTCTTGTACTGCTTGTTCTTATTTTTCCTTCATGATCGTACTCAGTGAAATTCCATAGAAATTGATTCGGCCTACAAGCGGTTAGTCCGAACAGCTCCTTCAAATAAAAAATTAAATCCATTTTATTAAGCAAATCTCAAAAACAAAGAAAGAGAAATGCTGAAAAATAAATATAAGCAGTACTTAATTAACACAATTGCAAGTTTACAGTATTTTTGATTCTGTGTATTGGAAACTATTACTATATACAGCATAGGATATTCGATTATTTGTAGATTTAACATGTTTAAATTTGGGTGTTTTTCTTTTAATTTAGATATATTTATTTATATTTTTCTGCATTTATTATAATGTATTAACTATAGCATTTGTCAGAGGAACAGAGCACGTATATTAATACTTACTTTTTAAATCCTCATCATCTTTGAAAAAGATTTAGTTGCCTTCCAATGGAATTTTTTAAAACATGGCAGCAAATACTCTCCTCTTCATTCACCAAGTTATTTCCACTAATTAAACAAAATGAGAACTTTAATCATAAGAGATTTGATTTCCCAGAAACATGTGAAACACAAAGTAACAATTCCAAAATTTGTCTTCTTAATGGTAGAAATATAAGAGAAATTTATGAAACGAAACTGACCCAGGCAAAAATTCAAAGATATTCAAAAATAAAATTTACAAATTAGATTTTGATTAAGGTAATAATAATTGACATAGATCAATGATACATTCTATTTTATAAGTTTTATACAGAAAGGATAAAAGTGATTATAGCGACTGATCTAGTTACTTATTTAATTTAAAACTAAAGCAAGCTTAGAAAAATTAAGGTAAAGATCGCATGAAACAAACTTTGAAATTTGTGTTCTAAAATCTGAAATACATGTTATTTGAGGTAAATATAGTACTTACATTTCGATCCGTATTGAAATGTCTGGAAATAGCTCTAAAAATTAATCCACATTAAAGAACATACATTCCAAAGCTTTCTTTTAACATAAAATCTTCAACGTTCTGCCGTAGGAAACATCCGAGATTAAAATGTTAGGCGTGCTAAAAGGATGCAGATTTGACCATCCTGTCCTATCAGATATCACAATTACCATAGAAACTGGCCAGTCTCACGCTGTGCAAAACCCTGACCTCATTGTTTGGTCAGAAAATGTTCTCTTATCTTAGAATATGCTCCCTAAATGCAACACTTTAGAAAGTGTGTGTCTTGTTCGTCTTATATTTTTTTTTAAATATGCAAGTTGATTTAAAGTGATGTTATGTTATTCTCAAAAACATTTACTTTATAGAACTAGTAGTGTTTAAACATTTACACATATTTTAAAGTTTCACATTAAACAAAAAACTATAAACAGTTATATATAACTTGATACATCATCATGCATGTTTTTTGGGTACTAATGGTTGGTATATATGTAACACTAAATGTACATAATTTACTATTTCTTTTTCTTTCACTTTTCCATCTTCTTGTCCTATTTTATAACAAACAGTTCACATGTTTCCTGAACTCTGGTTCAACGTTGTCCATACAAAACATTGTATCGAAATAAGGTCACCAATGTTGGCTTAACGTTGGGCCAATGTTGTACTCCCAACAAAATCTGTCAGCTTAGTGGTGACAAGCTAACAACAGTGGCCCAACGTTGGGCCAACGTTGTGTCCCCAACCAACCTCGGCCTCTGAGTAAAATATTGTAATGTTGACATTGACCCGACATTGGGCCAATGTTGTAAACCCAATGTTGTAAAGAGTGATCCTACGTTGGGTCATTGTAGTGTCCTCACCTCAGCTTCTGAGTAAAATAGTGTCATGTTGACATTGACCCAACATTGGGCCAACGTTGTATGCCCATCAAACTACAACAAAGCAAGAACGTGATACACCAATGATGGTCCAACATTGAGCCAATGTTGTACTCCCATCAAAATCTGTCAACTTAGTGGTGACAAGCCAACAACAGTGGCCCAACGTTGGGCCAATGTTGTACTCCCATCAAAATCTGTCAACTTAGTGGTGACAAGCCAACAACAGTGGCCCAACGTTGGGCCAACGTTGTGTCCCCAAACAACCTCGGCCTCTGAGTAAAATTGTAATGTTGACATTGGCCCGATATTGGGCCAACGTTGTGTCCCCAACCAACCCCGGCCTCTGAGTAAAATAGTGTAATGTTAACATTGGCCCAACATTGGGCCAACGTTGTAAACCCAACGCCAACCATCGGCCAACGGTCCAACCATTAGCCAACGTTGGGCCAACGTAGTCATGCTATCTGGGAAGATATGAAGATAACGAATTGTTATCAACCTCAAACAACCGTTTACAACTGCTTGCTCCTTAAGATAGGACAAACGGAAAAACATCCGTGGACAATTCTGTGAAATGAAAGATAATGAACATTATTAAATATACATGTATATACGTTCATTCAAACAATACAAATAAAGAGCAAGACAAACATTGCATATCTAGAACATAAGAGATGGGATCAGATACCATGGTTGAATGAGCATCCTAATCCAGCACTGACCATTGAACTGATCACCAGTGAGTGGGAAAAAACGCAAAAATCAGTCGACAACAGTGTGCAATAATGGCCGAACAATTAATATGAAAAACGTCAGTCAGCATTTGACTTAAGGTAGGATTCTTCTCACATTTCTTGTATTTAAAAATAATGAAATTTTCACAGAATCAAGAGGACAATATCATTAAGTGATGGCATCAGTGAGATTAAATTTGACCGTTTAATATTAGAGGCAAGGTCAGGTCAAGGTTATTACCTTTTTCCTGGACATTAATAATAAAACAATTACTGTTACCAATTATGCTTTCCCTACTTGTATTTCAAAAGATTGGATGTTTTTCTTTTTGCCTAAAAAAATACTACCATAAAGGGCCTATAAGGTAATATTACCAAATTGACATAAATAATTTAACTAAAATGGATCTTCTCTAATCCGAATTTTCTCTACTTTTCTAAATTTTTTATGATATATTAGTTACTTTTATATGCTTCCTATATTTAAATTTTTCTCATTTTCACATATGGTAAACTTGTCACATAAAGACACAAAATGATACAAAAACAAAAAGTTTTGATCGTTTATTAAACTTGAGAGAAAAAATACTATATTTAACTTTTTCTCATTTTCACATATAATAAAGTTGTCACAAAAAGATACAAAATGATACAAAAACTAAAAGTTTTGATCGTTTACTAAGAGAGAAATAACACTTTTTACGGATTTTTGGCTCACATCTGTACTTAGATTTGAAGCATTTAAAAGACAACATAGTTCTAATATGTGTGAAAAATCTTATTTATTTGATATATTTTGAAACTTTAGTCTCTTATTAATAATTTAACTTACATTTGAAAATTTCTTCTAGTCTTTGATTGAGTACAAATTATAACTAAATTCAATGTTTTATAATAATTTTGAGAGGCAGAAAAGAAGATATTTTCATACGCCACCATTCCGTCAAAAATATAGTTACTGTTAGTTTTCAAACGCAGTTTACCATTCCTATTTAAAGTTGTACAATTGTGACGAGGAAAGAAAAATATGGTCTTTAAAATCTCTTACACCTAAATATATAAGACATATAAGCAAAAATACTTTGAATATTTCATCTGGTCAGAAGCTAGAGAAGAATCCTACCTTAATGATAGATTGCGTTTACTGACATGATCCTTGTATCGACTAACTTACGAGATGATTTTTAACGAGACTGTTGATACTCTTGACCGGTTGGCAGGGCATGCTCGCCTCTCCATGGCACCTGATCCAACCTCCAATGCTTTGGATTGCTCCTATTTTGTACAGCGTAATGCACTTTTAAGATTGTAAACTGTTTGTTATCTCCCTATATTTCATTTCATCAATTTGTTCGTCAATAACAATAACCTCGTTTTTAAAGTTCATGCTTATAACATGTTAAAGGTCCTTGGGAATTATCGTTTCTACATATGAATGGAAACAACAATTGTTAATTGATAATTAATACGGTATATCGAAATGTCAAATTGAAAGCCACATGTTTTTTTCTCCTTACTCTTCATCTCATGTTCAGGATTCAAAATACATTTTCCTCATATGAAGACAAAAAAAGGTCTGCTAATACAGAGCGCAATTGGTATCCATGGGAATTCCAACAGATTGTTGGAAGACCTGGTCTCCAAAATCCACATAGATATTGTCAATCAGAAACTCAGGCAACTTTTAAATATTAATTTCAGAGTACTTGTGTGTACAATCAGAATGTTTTCAACAAAATGATTTCGCAAATAACCAATAACGAGGTAAGTAAATTTAAAAAGTTCTATTTTTATTGAAAAAGCAGATGTCAACGATTTCAGAAAGTCTTCAATTTATCATGAGCTTTAATGTTTTTTATTGATTTTCGTAGAATTTTGTGATTCGAAATTTTCCAAAAGTTCCTTAGGATTTTTAAGTCCGTGTATTAACATATGATTTACACCACTTCTCGAATATATTGTTGCACAGCACTCCTGAATCTTCTCCTTCACTACTGTTTTAAAATTCTTTAGTGAGGAATAAAGAGGCTTGATTGAAAATTCAATGGAATCTGCAATATATCTTTCTGGAATGATTTTTATGAAACTTCCGAATCCAATATAGAAATAGTATTAGAGGTTCATTATGGTTGTTGAGAATACTATATGAAGTATTAGAGATAGTCAATTTGACTTTATAGAAGTTCTATCTTAAAACAGGAGATATAGGTATACATGTAAGTTGGATTGCTACTTGTAGAATTAAATTCCAGTTCTTCTTACAAAAAAGTCAAAGTCTTATACAAACAAAGACAACGTTACATACTTTTCTCAGCTAGGACCAGTACGTACATACTGACTCTGTAATCTATGTAGTTCTCTTTTCACTTCTGAATAGTTAAAAACAGAATTAATTCATTCTGACAAAGTGTCAAGGCTTAAGGTAGGACCTATGTCGGAAAAGTCTTTGTCACAAGATTTTCAAACTTTTCAAAATGATAAATTAGTAGTTTCTTATCAATCAGTTAAAAGCTCATGATATGTTTCCTTGTTTTTAAATGAAGTACAGTCTGTGAAACTTGGAATGGTAATTACATACTGTGACTACACATTTTCAGTTATTTTTAGGGGTATTTGTCAAGAAGTGAGTATAAAAAATCACAAAAAATACTTCTTCAAACATTGTCATTTATAGACTTTATTAACTGAACAATATTAAGCAATATTTCTCAAGAATATATTTTCTTTATTCAATTGATAAAAAAGATTAGCTTGCATTTTAAAAAAAAGATAGGCAAATGGACTTTATAATTTTTTTAGTCAATTTTCCATCCTACATTTGTAAATATTCTTCAGAAGTCTTTGTCACAATGTTTTCAATCTTTAATATGATGAAGAACATACCCAAATGATTACAAAAAGTGATTAAAATATATACCTTTCGCCTCCAACTAATGAGAGATAGGTAATTTACCCATTCTAATATTCTTGACCTTTTTGCACTTACACGGGATTTAATTATAATATGACTGTTTGGGGTTACTTTCAGATTAAAAATGTTTATCAAAATTGTACTTTTTATTTAAAAAAGATCATATTTAAATGTAATAGAAAAATTGTAATCAAACACTAAAAATATGAATGTTACAAATGATGTAAAGGAATGCACATCATGAAATCATTTCATGATAGATATCACAATAATGTACACACGATCACACGATCTACAACACGTACATCTTTGACTTAGACACATTTCATCAAGAGATTACAATATTTAGTTGGCAACTAAAGATTTCTTAGGATTTTTGCATTCCTTCAAAATAGTTACAGACCATTCACACTTTTGTAGTAAGTTGTATACATTGTAATTTCTTTACACAAGATAGTCTTGGATTTGTCAACTTAATTAATGTCAAGATCTAGTAAATGAAAGGTGCCTACAGGTTTCTCTAATTCAAGAAATATATTGTCATACAGCATTTTAACCAAAAAATATATAAATTGAATTAAGATTATTTCGGCATAATTTTAAATTGAATTCTATGAATTTCAAAATGCAGTATTTCTACATTTTCTATTGAAGCTGTAAAGTACAGGGGAAAGTGTCATTGAATTAATTATGACGTCATT